CTGGCCCTGCTGCTCTCCTGTTCTACAGGAACAGAGGTGACTCAAGGTACCAGAGCCATCAATCTATCACCTCTCTCCAGTACGCCATTCAGTCCAAAAAAAAAAAAACAACCTTTAAAAAACCCCTCCCAAGTTCCATTTACTGCAGCAAAATGTCTTCAGAAGATCAGACAAAGGTATTACCAGTGACATGCGCAGAATATCAACTACAAACCCATTCAGGAAGGCAGCGAATTCCAAGTGGCTGAAAGCTTAGTGCAGAGAGGCAAGAGAGATGCCTGAGGGCTCGAATTAGGTGTCTGGGTTTTATTGCTGGAGCCTACATTGTGCATAAAAGAATCCGTGGCGAGGGGTGCTGGGGAGCACCCCACCAACCCAGATATGCAGGGGGACTGCATGATACGTGAGAGGGATTCAGTGGGGACCAGGCCATCCTCTGTGTCAGTGTGGGGGAGGGGGCTGATCCTGGATGTATTTTTAGTGAGGGGGGGGAATCAGATTCACTCATCTATGGGTGTAACCATTGGGTAGGCTATGGGAGTGCGGTGCCCCCTAGTGGCTGGTTCCACTTACTCACAGCCAATGAGGTAGTTCTCTTGGCTCAAGAGGGTTGGTACTTGTGGGGGCTACAGGTCCAGGGTACAATCTCTAGGGCGGGGGGTATTGTAAATATAGCATTTAAAGCAGCCAGTCCTCCTGCTGCTAGAGAAAACTCAGCTGCCATCGTGGAAAGCGTGGGGTGCAGACATGAGCTCTGGAGCATTTCCCATTCTTTAGGGGGCATCTGCAGCTTAGGGGATGGGCTTCTAGATGAGGCAACAGACTGGGTCTTGGGAGATGTAGGTTCAGTTCCTGCCTCTGCCACAGACTCCCTGGGGGGGCCTTGGATGAGTCACTTAATCTCTCTGGGCCTCAGTTCCCTGTCTGTAAAATGGGGATACTACTCCATCCTCTGTCTGTTTGGAGTGAGGGGTCTGTCTCTTACTAGCACAATGGGCCCTCATCTAGCTGGAGCCTTCAGAAGGTTTTTTTCAGACCTTATGGGCCCCTTTCCAGAAAGGTGACCGGAATGAGTGGAACAAGAAGGGATCAAACCCAATACATATGTGGGAGGTGGCATGGGTCTAGTGGATGGGGCACTGGACTTGGGAATCAGGAGAGCTGGGCCCTGATCTGAGCTCCACCACTGACCCATTAA